GATATACTAATACCATTAATAAAAGGCACCCTGAACATCAAATTATAGGCAAAAATGTGGTTCGGATTCCAATATAAACTGTAGGTCCCTTAGTTGCCATTGGCTGCATGGGCTATTTATTAACGGTCCTATCTAAGGAACATGTCGGTACTTTATTAACAAATAAGACAGACTAGTCACCAATATCTGGTTATATATATTGTTGGATTTGGATTTGAGTGAAGCTCTACAACATTTTTACTGATGATTTGCTGAAGAAATATATTCTATGCAAAATAATAGGCACTGTCTTTGGATGTTTCAAATATTCTGGTTCCTAAAAGTATGACATCTTTGTAGCATACAATAGGTAACGTTTCGTGTTTTCAATAAATCAATTTCTTGGGCATTTGAAGGAAGACTAGGTCTCTTGTCTGAATCGAACATTACATTCAAATTAATTGAACGAGAATCATTTAATCTCTCGCTCAAATGTTCGAAACTCGCCAAGGTCGAACTTGGTAGAGAAATTGCCAGGGTCGTATTTAGATATTTTGTTAATGATGGTCTACCAAAAACCATGTTTATATACGAGATTACAGATACGCAAAAGAGAAACCTAACATAGTGTTCGATGGTAATGAGTTGAATATAGAAACTATTCTACTGGAAACTGACTGTGACTAGGGATCTCCTCATTTATCATTCCAATGATTGCGCTAGAACGTGGGTTGAACACATTCAGCTCGCAACTGTGCCCCAAACCGTCCTTTGTCCTACCTTGATTGTATTGCTTAGTTCAGCTGATCACTTCATGTGTTTTAAACTAGACATTTAATTGTTTTTATTCAGTGTTACCTTTGACTTATAACACAACTTCCGTATCTAATAGTCAATGATGATACTTTATCTTTTGTCATGTTTAAAAGTCTTTGGTATCGTGGGTATTGTTATTTTAAATCTACCAGAGTTTGCAAATAAATGTTTAAAACTTGTGTAGACAACGGTCGTTCTGGCTGTAGATTGGAAACTATAAAGTAATTTCGATCTTACAAAATTTTAAAGTTTTAAACACATACTCTACATAAAACAATATCAACCTTAAAATATGTTTATTACTATTACTGAACATAAGGATTGCTGAAAGAATATCGTTCTCAACCATCAGTATGCTTTAGTTAGTGAAGAAATGTAAAAATGTCATGTTTAAATACGCATTTTTCCTAAACCATGTAGGAAAAACGCTCTTAAATAAATCAGGATTTTCTAAAGATAACTCAAAAAACTTTCGGCCTTGGGCTACACATTGACCTTTGTGGTAGTATATGATTGTTTCAGTCGATGTAGAATCTAACAACGAACCACCAATTGACTTTGAGATACTTTATGTTCAAGTACTTTACACTTTAGATTGTTGGTAAATGTATACGGGCGATCTGTTTACTTCTGAGGCGGAAATGTTATTGACATTGAACTTGAGGCCGATACGTTTCTTATCTCTACAAGCAGCTGTATTAGCTATCTTCTCCTGACTAATGATAAACGTCAGACTCAGCTGAGCGTTGTGCGATCAGCTGTCTGTTGTCTGCTGTCTGCTGAATATGCTGATGTTGACAGCGACAATGGCATCAGACAAAGGATATCACGCTACGTTCACTTTTATACATGACATTCAATAATTTAAGCTTTTGCTACAAAGAGAAAATCTTCTGTTGTTTTGTAGTAAAGTTTTCGTTGCTAATAACATGTTCTAGGTCATCTTTAACGACGTCGATCAAAAAAATACGAGGGAAAAAGAATATTCTTACAGATTTTACAGAAAAAGATATATCGGCACTAGAAAACTTTTAATTTAGTTTTTACGTGGATTCAAAATTACTTATTATCTTTATATTAAAATCATATAATTGGATTTTACAAACGGTAAATTAAATAAATGGCAATCTTATACATAAGCTTACTAATCCAAGGTGTATATCAAAACGTTGGAGGTTTTTTTTTTTTTTTTTTATTTCAAGATTCTGAATATAACCATTTCAGTAAATCTTGATGCAAAATGTATTAGCAAAATATTGTAGTGTTTTCTTTACCAGTGTTTGAGGTATAGCTTATTTTCTAAGAGACTGTAAATTTATCTAAATAGTAGGGATGTGAGGAAAGCACAAGGGGGAGGAGTGGGGACTTTTGGAAAAATACACATCTCGACTTGGTCTAACGCATCGAAAGATCCAGCTTTCCCCTAATTACTTTCGACACAGAATCCATATTGATTGGGCTAATCTTGAAAATAATCCAACCTATTGTAGATGTTAGCCTCCAGATTGACAAACAATAATAAAAAGTAAATACTGTCAAATAAATGTATGCCTAAAGTTAAATAGTTGCGACAAATGGTTTTACAAGTATGTTAATTGACAAACTATCTCCAAACATAAAAGTAAACCCGCAACCAAAAACAAAATATACTGTTAAATATAGTTGTTGCAATTATTTTCGAAAGTAACTAAACAAAATCAGACGATTAAAGAAATTGCTGAGAGTTGTATCCTGTATCAACTAAAACAATTTTTTATTCACTTATTATACAAAATAGATTATTATTACAAATTATCTCCATAGCTTTCAATACATTGTATTTTTGTTTCCAAACAAAAAGTTATTCTACGTAGAATGGGCTATCTGCCAGGGCACTTATGGGTTTTGCTATGGAGGAAACACCTAAATCATGTATGAAAAAATGTTAATTAACATCTTTAACAGATCTGAGGTAGAATCAACATTGACACTGTAGAATCTTAATGGTAGGTTTTAAAGGGATATTAGTCCACATATCCTACCTTGTCTATTAAGAGAAATGGTGATCTCATAGTGATTTTATATTTATTAATATTTATGCAACGTGCCATCACCTTATAAAAGCATTTTTAAAACGTCCTTTGACAAATTCAATAGAGCTCCACTTCACTCAACTTTATAAGTGGCTCTTTGCTCCCAATGCAAATTCCAAGTATCAAGGTTTCAAAAGAATCTCTTTCCATGTAAATCAGAATATCGTAGTTAAATAGCCATGCATATCACATCATCACCACCAATTACCTTCAACAGCCAAGTTGTTTTGAAAAATGTTTATATTCAAAAACAAATCTCTATAAACTAAAACAAGGATATTTAATATAATATAAATCAAAATGCCCTAAATTATCGATATTACGGGTTTTGAAAGTAAAGTTGTACTATTATCAGAACTTTAATGCAAATTCATCTTGATGGCACGCAATATAAATTTCACTCACTCCTAATGGTAATTGTACAGTAGATCGCATACAAATAATCTGTTACTTTTGCATCTTAAAAGGGTAGTTATTTTATATGTAACAATGTATTACAGGACCCTGTGAAGTGAACGAATAAGCATTATCAGCTGTCAACACACACCCAAGAGTGATAATTGAAAGTTCCAAAACATAGACAGTCTATATCGCAAATAAATTCAAGTACCTAATTAAATTATGCATCTATAGAAATTGTCATATTCATAAGCAGTATCGGACATAGGCAACGATCTGTAAATATGTCAATATATTTATCATAAATGTCTACCGTTGAACCAATTTATTAGATTCAAAAGCTAGTTTGGACATACGTACCGGCCGTATTTTATGTGTTTGATCATGTCTTGTACATGATCATCATAATTTTGATAACACGAATCGTTTCGCCTCGTTCATTTGTTGGCCAGACTCGTCACATCAATGTATTCTCTGCTATAAGTAGTGTAAATGCTTCAATAAACTTTAAACCTCTTAGTGTTGACTATTGTTAATAGTTTGAAGCAAAAAAAAATTCGGTTGGCTATATTTTTTTGTTATTTATTTTTTATTTACTTACCATATTTATTTACAAGATCAGTCCCTCTAGTTTGCTTCGGAAACAGACAAATCTGTTGAATTATTCTTCCACATTTAATAGTACTGTAATAGTAATTTAATAGCACTGGGTATTTATTAAAATGTCTTATTTTTTCGTCAATTTAATTATGCATTGTATCACAGACCTATGAGTAACGGTGCCAACTACCAAAAAAACTACAATTAATACACATCAGAGCAAGGAAATCCTAGAGATAACCAGGGTATACAATACAATTAAACTATAGTTAACTACTAGTAAGGTATAGTAATTGATTTTTTTGTTAACCTGTTAATATAGCTCTAGTTTATATGAAAAACTGGAGGAGATTTAGCCTACACTGAAAAAAGTTGTGTATCTTCACTTGTGACTAAGCAGGTCACAAGTGAAATTTCCAACTACGACTATCTCCTAACTGAGTGTAAGTGTCCCGGCCACTGGTCGCAAATACAGGGGCCATATTTATAATATAACTTAACATAACCTAACCAACCTAACCAAACTTCTATATGCGGATTATGGCCAGAGGTGGCCGGTTCTCCGTTTCCCCTCCTAACTATCGTAGTGGAAAACATAATAATTATGAATAACATTGTAAAGATAATAAAGCTGCATAAAAACGTACGTTGCCAAAAGAAGTAAACGTGGCTATTACCAAGGATGGCAATAGCCAATGATATTATGATTTTACCAAGTCAGACGTTTGAATTTAACTTAATTTAAATTCTCTTAAACCAGATTAAAATATAGTTTACGCAAGATCTCCATCGTGAAAACAGACATTTTTGTTTTCACCCTACCATAAAGTGTAATCTGCATATGTATGCTACAACGTTAAGGATTAGTTTTATTACTATTCTATCCACAGAGGCAGGTAATCTTTTAGTGTATTGAAAACGGTTAAGCCAAAATTCCAGGAATTCGAAACACTTAAACTGGTAAGGCAGTTGACTGTACAAAGTTTAGTAACTAACAATAGTTTATGCAGCAGGATTGTGTTTTTGATTCTGGCCAAGTCTCTGACGTCACACCAAGTCGTCACGTGTTTCCTAGTTAGTCAGCTTGGTCACGTGATTAGTTTGCTTATCTCAGTCACGTTGACTACAAACGCAACGTTTCAGTGCAGTTATAAAGTGCATCTGTTGCGAAATACCACGTCACTAGGCCAATATAAACAATCGCTTTCGCCTGCCTTGACATACATACTTGTGCGGTTTTCAAGTTCACTTCCTCGGTAGTTTTCTCCAAATTTTCACGAGACATGTAAGTATTCACATATGAACTTGTTTACTGCTATATTGCTAATATATGATCGGCAGATGTTTAGATATATCAGCTGACCTACTCTAAAGTTTTATTTACTAGTTTTATTCATGTAAATTTGAATATTCAATATACTGTATACAGTTAGTAAGTTAGTATAAGTTAGTAAAGCCACGCTTGACTTAGTATTTGATTATTTACTTTATCTTTCGTATCCACAATTATATTAGATGACACAGTTAGTGACAACATGAGTGTGTTTACATGTATTGACCATGTGATAAATGTAAATGTAGTTGCACATAAAGATTAACTCAACTTTTAACCCTAAAAGTGATACATTTCTGTCACAGTCTACTACTTTTGTTGGAATTTAGGCATGGTTCAAAGATGAGTTTTTAAAACCTAACCAGATTCTTTACATAAGATATGTGTGGGGAGCAAACTTAAAAAATTAAAAAAGAAAATCTTGCACACTTTATATTCATTACAAATATAAAAACCACACCGAAATGCGTTACGAGAAAACGTTAGAGAATAAAGAAATAGTTTTGTATGAGTTCTGAGTTCAATAATTTATTTTATATCCTTAGGATATTATAATATATGACCAAAGAAATTTTTTACCAGTGACATTTAGGCCTAAATCTAAGTCCTTTTGAGGAGACCAGTGGTTTTAGCGATTTTTTATACTTTCCATTTCTCCCAATAAGTAACGTAATTCATTATGTCAAATTATATCCCAAAGTTAAAGTTTTAATAATATTTTAAAATTAAACTATTTAGACATGTTGCCTGACACATTTTAACTTTAATAAATGTCATTTGATTATCTGATTTATGACGTCAAGCCAGCTAATGAAATCCCTTAATTGCTTCAGGTTATTATTAATGACACTCTATCTACAATCGCAGACGTAAATATGAAATTGCAGCTTTACTACGGTATGGCTATAAAATCTGTCACATAATCTGATTCTAGAATTTATGATACTGTCAACTTCAGCCTTGTGATTAGGATAATAAACTAACAACATTACAGTGGATTATACAATGTTTAATTACTACAAAATCAGGGGTTTTTTATATCAGTAAAATAACTATCTAACCCTGTAGTGTTCATAAACCCATGTTACCAAATCAAGTAGGTATAAACATGTTAACATTTCATTGAAACAAGATAGAGAAAAGTACCTAGATACAACAAATACTTAAACGCTAATTATAATACAAAACAACATAAGTTATGCTGTGTATGATTGTTATGTTACATATAAAACACGTTGTTTTAACACTTTTAAATTGTAATCTTTTAAAAGATTTGTTGTATAACAATGGCAGTAATACTTTGTATAAAACATTTCCATGAAGCTTTAAACAACTCAATAAAGCTGCAAAGCCGTCAGTCAATATATAAATTACACGCGGTTTATTTGCTCAGCCCCATGTGCACAGTCGTTTATTCAGTTATATCCAGTTTTTACGATTGAATTCTTAATTAAAACAATGTATTATTTTTTTCTGATTCATTCGATCCATTTAATGTGTCGAATTTACCACAAACATTTTATCTACACCAGTTCACCCCCACTTTACAATATATTAATCAATCTTTAAACACACTTTATCGAAAATTATTGTTCAGGTAAATCAATTTGGTACACGTGATGGCGTTACCCAATTTAGAGACCAACGGTGATTTAAATTTGAATATTTAGTAATATTTCAAAAGTTAAGTATTTACTTCAAAACAAATTAGTATTAAAATCAGTATTTTAAAACACTGACTATTGGACAGTTACTGACTGAGTTTCGTGAAAAACTGACTGTATTCTTTACATGCAATACCATATTTGAAATCCCTCTATATACTCCAAAATTTAATAAATGTCATAAATACGATAATTGTACATGATTACAAACACAAATGGTCACAGTTTCATAATCATTTAGTATTTTCCACTCCCGAACTATATATAAGGTAAAATTAGATGTTTATTTACAGGAGGTAACATGTAGTGTATGGTGCTACACGTTCTATAAGACTTATTAAAAATTATTAGGAGGTTTGTGGTAACCTCTTAGCTTAATCTCTTTTATACAATTTGTGAAGTAATCCTTCAGGCAATGCACAAAATATGATGCAAGGTATATAATTAATGTAACAAAATGTTCGTCAAGTAATTACAGTAGCATGTGTTGTGTAGCATGGGTCTACAGTCCACCACTAGAGTTATCCGAGGCGGTCGTGCCGTGGAGACAGTTTACTGGCATTACATGAAGGACAAAACTGGCCTACAGAGGATCTTCAAACACCGCAGCACGTTCGTGTATCCTAAGAGAATGGTGCCTAAAATGCCCAATGTCGCCGACCAGGCCTTCAGTAAAATTAAATGAACGGTAAGCAGAATAACTATACATTCCTTACGAAACTAAGGGATACTGATAGTCAATGTTGTTTTAGTCGTGTATTCCTCTCCCCTCTGAAAGGGTGTCGTGCTGTTTCAGCGCGTGCTCGTACAGCGCAGTGCTTGTACAGAGCAGCTCTCTTGGGGTCTCTATTTCCAGGAAGGACCTGGCACTCACACGTCCAAATGTAGTCCCTAGATTAAGCTGCGGTAATACTTTGAAGTACGAATATTCCAACCCAGAATACCTGCCGGCAGGAGGGTGACAAAGGGGTCGGTGCACTTACAGTCATTTGGAATTTCCAGCTTCTTGCTTCTTTACAAGATTCAAAGTCCAAGCTAGGGATTGCAAGTACAAATATTCGTTATTCGGCTATGGCTTGTGAATTTATCTGAATCACTTAAATAATATTAAAGCGGTCTCCACAGCTCCAGCATACTTGGCGAATTTGACAACAAAAGCTCATAAAAGGTAGTTTTAACACCTCCAAAGCTAAAAATGCAGAAGAATGTTGAACCATAGATAAAACACAGTCCTTGTGTTGGTTAGTCTGTGGTTGAACAATGCGACACGTATTATTGACTCTCACAAGCAGCATTGAATATCAATTGCACGTCTGGATCCTTACAAACTGCGATTTTGGTGCTGGGGTTATCAGGGTTTATACGGCAATTCATAAATTATGAGAAAGCCCAAAGCCAGTACCGCTAGTTTACTGAAGTACAGAACAGGCAGGAAGACAGACGGATGGAGGGGCGTTCCAATTAGACTGCACGTACACGAACACGATATTCCACCATTTTCTGCTGCACCGCACAAGCACGCCTGTACGAGCACGTAATCCCTGAAAGTACCTATTGATTACATAACGTAACTCTACTCCCCTGGTGGTAATATATCGCTATTCTCTCCAGAGATTGGCTACGATGTATCACCAATATAATGATAATCCGTGCCACAAGTAAGAAACAATGTAAGTTTTAAAAGGCTTTTACAAAGCCATTGTATATCCACTGTTCCTCTGAGACCTATCCATTTTAATTCGATAACTCGATTTATGGTTTCGATCCAAACCATTTATTGTTGTTCCAAATTAAATTCTAATGTTTTATTACCCAGTGTAACATGTTCTCTCTTATGTGAGTTTGTTATAAGTCTTTTGTGTAGTTTTACTTTTAAACATAGTAATGAATATAAGCTAAATAAAAAATGTATTACATTTAAAATAAACATGTATCCTAAAATCCACAAACAATGAAATCATGAAACACTATAATGGTTCCAAACAAGAATGTATTTCATTTTAGGACAATCAGTCACACATAAAAGAGAATATGTTTAAGGATAAATGTGCAGGAAGAAAATTGCATCCTTCCTTCAATCGTGTAGAATTTACCAATTGAAGTAATGGAGAAAATGCTCTTTAAACTACTGTATTTGCAAGGTAGCCTCTTAGTTTCATGGATTCATTCTACTTAAATGCTGTTAAATGAATTGATATGTTACTGCAATCATATATATTAATATGATACTATCTGGATGTTACAGGTCCGGTTACCAATGCTGGCTGGCTTCTTCCTCCGGATTTAATGAGACTGGTGTATTCGTAACCTGTATGTGTCCTTTTAACCTAATGTAATATAATATTTATTTATTTTATTTGTAACTAATTTGTTTTTGATATTTGTTTTCTTTGTTAATATAGTTTTAATAACTCACATTGGTGTCCTTATTACACCCAACCCTACATTAGAATACATATAAACCTTGTAAACATAAAAACTACTATCAAAGTTAGTAATTAATAGAAGTTTATTAATTAAATTTTAACTTTTATCCTCAATAATTAGCACAATAGAAAACTCGTATTTTCTTTTAAAATATAAAAGTTTACTTTTTACTGTCTAAGTTGAATGGTGAGACAACATAAAAACTTGAATAGTGAATGAATCCATCTATAAGTATTATTTAGTATGTTTTATAATGTATAATATTTTAATGAGCTTCTTGGCAAACGCGCCACTGTCCATACCTCGATATGTAAGCTTGTTTGTTTGATATTTATTGGACCTTACATTATTACTTTGAACTCAAAACTACAAAAATATTCCTCTTTGAAAAAGATTTCCGATTAATCTAACGTCAAAGCGTGCTTTGTAATTCAAAGCCAGGAGCAGCTAAGAGCCCTTCTGACCTAGTGACTGGAGTAATTTAAACTTCTCGAATAGCTCTCAGCGTTATGTCTGAGTGAAATGTTGAAACCAATGTATACTTATCAAGAATTTGCCATTCAATGGGCCGATCTTACATTCGCTCCTCAGGTTTTTTTAGGTCATGGTGAATTCACTGACGTGTTCGGAAATTTGTTATATCCAAAGAAGTAATCATTTGTATGCATCTTCTCAGGATAAATGACTACAATTTACGAGTACCTAATAATTAAATGTTTTTAAAATCATATAATCATATGTTTAAAAAATACATACTTTAGTTTTTTTTCCCTAACAGTACATTATTTAATAGTTTATAAATATAAATTTGAATTGTCCGTGGAATTATAGTATTCACAATTACTACAATAACGTTACAATTTCTTTCGGGTTTGGATTAATAAAAGGCACGATGATTTTGTATTTTACACTCATTTTGGCAAATTTCCCGATAGGGAATCCATTATATGTATTTTGGATCTTCTTAATTACCATTATTAGACAACCTTTTACTTCTCTTATCGCATAGCCTAAAGGTTTTTTTTCGTTTTCTGAAGCTAAAATTCCTTCTCCGGGCCACTGATACTCCTGTGACTACGATAGTTTAGCTCACCTAAAACTTAAATCAACCATCCGTTTGCATAAATTTGTCTGAACTTCTATTGCTGCCTTGAGTATACATATGCATGCTCTGCTGACAATGAATGGGCTTGAGTTTCATGTCACCTGTAGCAGTTTTTCCTTGGTTATCATAAAAAGCTTTATTGATTGTTCCTTGTGTGGGTGTTCAGCAAATGTGCGTGTGTGTTGCACTCTTGTAAATATCTTTAAAACCCCTCAATGAGATTTTAATAGCTTTATTTTAAGATACGATTTTATAATTTAATATAATTTAAATTCTAGACCATACGTATAGAATATCCAAATTAAGTTATTTTATATTATTTTATGTCTATCTGTCTGTACGAATCAAACTCAAAAACTAATGAACCGATTTGCCTCACATTTTACATAAAGCAACGGGTCCGGGGATTTGTACCGAGCTATTCCCGCTTTGATGTTGAGAATAAAAATAAATTAAATGTAAAGAATCATTGACTATTCACCCAGGCAACGTTAGGGCGACATAGCTCTTTCTTACAATTAGCCCGTACGTAAGCATGATTTAAATATTTTAATAAATTAATGTATTAACAATAGAACAAAATGGAAGTCATTAGTACAGAATCTTTTAACTATATAACTATAGAAAATTAAATACTTTCTAAATTTTAATACACAGCCGTCAGCGATCAACCATGCGTGCAAGTATCAGGGGAAGGGAGATCAAGCTATGCCTGGTGATGTTTAATTGCCACCAGGCATGCTCACTCGGTCCCCTGGTACTAATTTATAAAACGCCTAGCATATGTTATACATAACCTTACAAATATTTTGTGTATTGCTGTACAAATCTCTTATACGATGGTTTTAAGTATAACTTGAGTTAATCAGTTAATGAACATCATTGACAAAGCAAAGTTATAGGGGTGTATTGTTGTTTAAAAGAAGGATAGCAGTCTGAGATATCTCCACCTCGATGACTATAAATGAGTGACATTGTTCCGTAACACACTTATATTGTACAAACCAGACCAACTAACTAAATACTGGTTCTACATAATGTACTGTATAATGCTCCCGGTTGGTGAATCAAGCTCACTGCTTAGTTTTATTAAATTACAAGTTCGTTTTTATCTTTTGTTGCTACGTGTAGTATTAAATTTTTGCTAAAAACGATTCTGGTGTTAGTATTTAAATGCAATGTCATTACTCAGACTATATCTGCGTTCACTAGAATTGTTGGTAGGCCTATTGATAATTATAATATTTTCAATAACGTTCCAAATCTAAAATACTCCCAACACAATATTTTAGCTAGTTGGCATATTAGATGCCACTTTAAACAAAACTCGCCTTTGGGGAATTTCAGAACTTTAGTTCTATAATATAAGTGGGTAAGAGGGTATATTCCCAAAGTCCAAAGACCCAACAATCAGAATGAGGTATTACGAGGGGGTTGGAGTGAATATAGGTGAATGATGTAATGGAGCAAAATGTACACTCTAAAAGGTTGTATACAAAACATTAGTTAAGATTCATATTATCTTACGTTTGTGTACTTTTAAATTGAAGGGAACCTTCAAAATCGGGATATTTTACTGAAATCATCCCCCCCCCTTATTTTAAGGGCAAAGTAGGGTGAGAAAAATCCTATGATTAATCGAACTTCTATTTGCCTAATTGAATTTTCACTAAAATATCTCCATTCAAATTTCATATTTATTCCCTATTTAAATAACATTAGTTTAACGAGTATTTCCCTATAACAATAACATGGAAATTTAAAATTATTTAGTAAGTGTTTTAGCGAATCTCCCTATAGGGAAGTAGCTATTGCCGTATGAGGCACGGTAAGACCAGAGCCCGGGACGTATTTACTTTTGATTGTGATTTCTCCAAACCTAAAGGTTTAAAACACTATATATATATATATATATATATATATATATACATATATATATACCTAAAAAAGGTATTGAATCATATACATGTGTCACATATACACATGTGTCATATGTGTCAATTTGTTTACGGCCCATGCTAGAAAAACTAAACTCTGCACACCTTTATGGCATGCGTGAGGACCTCATTTTGAAGGTCCTGATAAAAGATAACTAACAACGCAAATTAGGGCTCTCTATCTTAACCCAGTAAAAAATGGCACTCAATAAAGATTTTCAGAGATGAAATTTAACTTACAGCTTTCCAAGTCTGCAGCCCCCTGTTGTTGTAACGGCTCACACTAGAAAAACTAAGCCCTGCACACCTTTATGGCATGTTATGAAGTACTTTTTTAAGCCTAATTGCTACTTGGTTCGCAAACCCAAAATGGGGGATTTTGGGGGAAACTCAAAAATTTGAAATGTCAAGCCCCATCAAATGACCCCTCATTTTTAAGGTCCTAAATAAAAGAAAACTAACAACGCAAACTAGAGGTCCCTATCTTAACACAGTAAAATATGGCAGCCATTGATGTTACGTAAGGAAAATTTTAAGTCAATTCTGATTCCTAAGCATTTCAATTGACTGCCATATTTTACTGGGTTAATATAGACCCCTAGTTTGCGTTGACCTTAATAGGACCTTCAAAATGAGGGGTCACTCGATGGGTGTTACCATTTGAAACTTTTGAGTTTCCCCCAAAATCCCCCATTTTGGGGATGTACACGAAGTTGCGGTGATGCCCAAAAGTACTTCATAACATGCCAAAAAGGTGTGCAGAGTTTAGTTTTTCTAGTATGGGCCATTAAAAAGTTGACAGGGAGTCTCCAGACTTTTTGTTAACGCTTTATATACATATATTGAGGTATTAAGGTCTAGTTCTTACTGTGAGACCTAGAAATTTATTAAATCAAGTTTCTTGATATCTGAGTGTTTAAAAGTTGTAGTTTTTTACAACAATTTATAATTTTGAACACCATTTGTATAGGTATTGGGTTTTAGATCTTCTAAATTAAATACAAAAATATAAACATTAATACTTATAATTTTTGGTAAGCCCATGTTTATATTTATTTGTTAAATAAAGGTCCCGTTTTATGAAGATCCTCTGAAAATGCTTTCTTGGTCTGGAAAGGAGATCCAACCCCATTCAAACCGGCTAATTAGTTTTACTTAGACAAAGACGTTCGTTATTGTCAATTCTTCAAACTTCATTACGTTGAGATTCATCCCTGAGGAAGGTTCTAAGTTCGTTTCAAGTTTCATAGCTATCATGATGGTAATCATCGTCATAATTAATTGGTCCAAACAGTTCCAAATATGTATGCATTGAAATACTTTAATTTGTCTTAAGCTTAAAAATAAACTTATATACTGTTTGTTTTTTTACCAGATAATCCATTGTTTGCCATTTAACGCTAAAAGAAAAATTTGTGGTTTTCGCAAGCTTGATGATTTTTATGTTGTTGTTTGATTATGCGTTATGTCTATGCTGTAATAAGCATAGTAATTCCATAACTATAAAACGCATTTACCCTGTTGTTCATTTTTAAATACAGTTTAATTTTTAGACGATAGTATATTTTTTATGCGTCGATAACAGTTGCATTGAAACAGCAACGCCGAAGAAAGTTTATATTCTAAAGTGAATACGAATGCAGATTAAATGTTGAATGGAATGGGATGATTTGCATAAGTAGGTATTTGTACTGGCCAGCTAAATATTTATCAGGTAAATCTAAATTCAATACCAATTATTAATTTTGGCTGGATATAGTTAAGAATCAAAAAGCTTGATTTACTCAGGATCTCGGGATTCAACCAATGACTTTAACTTGACACACCTGTTTCAATGACCGAGAATTATCATCTCAAATACCAATAATAAGAAAACATACGTAGTAAAAGTAAATATCCCACCACAAATATTATCAACAATTTCTTGAACCTCAATGTCAAACAAA